AAGTCCCATCTGATGCTTTGTGACCCATGGACTGTAGCCGGCCAGGCTCCTGTCCATGGGATTTCCCAGGCAAGAATACTGGAGTGGGTTGCCATTTCCTTCTCCAGGGGATCCTTCTAACCAGGGATGGAATCTACATCTCCTGTGTCTCCTGCATTGGCAGGCAGGTTCTTTACACTGTGCCACCTGGGAAACTCTAACAAACTGCAAGGGACTTTAAAAATGTGGCATACCCCACACTAGAATTATAACCATAGAATTTAGCAGAAGGGGAAGGAATGGACCTATTGCTCTTGTGACTAGGGCACTGGTTTTTAAGCTTAATGTCCAATTTCCTGGAGAGTCAATGCCCGAGGAAGGTGCTAATGGGCACAGCTGCTCTCCTGTTCTTTGCCATTCACACTTAAATGCACAGCAAGAGTAGAAATTCCTTTAAAACTCACCTAAGCAAATCAGGAGAGGAGCCAATACTGCATTGCAGACCTTGGCTCCATTTTTCTCCAAAAGAAGAACACCAAGCCTGCTGCAGAAATTTCAGGGACATTCAGTGCTTCATTTAAGATTTGAGCCTTGTCGTTTGTGTCTTGCTCTTAATTTTTGTTTCTTCATTCTTTTGCTTTTAAGTGGAACTGCTGGGTGCTGTTGATATTTGTGATGTGACAAAATAATGATTCACTGCACAGAACTGGGGTGAACTGCCAGCAATTCACAGGGGAAATAAACACAGGAGCATTCATAAGGATTATCTTCCCAGCCAGCATGATGTGATATGAAACAAAGACATTTCGCTACAGAAAGTGTTCTCCAGAGTCCAGAAGTGTGATCTTTGCTTCTTTCCAAATAGAAACTTTGTGGACAGGGTTCCAAAGTTCAGATGCCGTGATTTCAGAGAACCACTTCTGACTTAACTTTCCCAGGGCATGAGCTCTAATGAAACAAGGCAGAGCCTCCCCCACCCCCACCCCCCGCCCCTTTATGCTCTTTGAAACATAAAAAAAAAAAAAAAAAAAAAAACCCAGTCCTCATGGCTAGATCATTTTAAATGCCTCCTCCAGTGCCTCTTTCTGCTTATTGAATCACTTTTCTACTTCTTGATTTTGCAAGTGGAGTCAGCACAAATCAGACTGTTAACATATTTGAGTAATATATGGCCACTCTATGGGGGGAAAATGAGCACTGGCATTTCCTCAGTTAATGCTACTGAGAAAGTGCCAAAAACAAAGAAATGTATTAATTGCTCTCTGCATGCCAAGAACTGGGCTAAATGCTCGGAAAACATTATCTTACATAATCCTCACATCAACTACAGAAAATAAGTACTGAACTTCTACATTTAGAACCAAAGATGATCTGAAAGATGAATGCTAGGACTTCAATAGGAAATTGCTTTAGTGGCCCAGATGCCAACAGCACCTATCACCCCTGAACAATAATCAATTGTTGTGAAGAATGTGAGATACTATTGATAGAGACAGAATGAAGGGACAAAACAGGGGATTAAATAGTTAATCTCACTAGTGGATTCTAGGGACTCCCCTGGTAGCTTAACAGGTAAAGAATATACCTGCAATGCAGGAGACCGGGGTTTGATTCCTGGATTGGGAAGATGCCCTGGAGAAGGAATAGGCTACCCACTCCAGTATTCTTGGGTTTCCCTAGTGGCTCAGATGGTAAAGAATCTGCCTGCAACACGGGAGACCTGGGTTCAATCCCTGGGTTGGGAAGATCCTCTGGAGGAGGGCATGGCATCCCACTCCAGTAGCCTTGCCTAGAGAATCCCCGTGGACAGAAGAGCCCGGCAGGCTACAGTCCGTGGGGTCACAAAGAGTCAGACACAACTGAGTGACTAAGCACAGCACAGGTGATTATAAGTAAAAAATAAAGGTTGTTATTGTTGTTCAGTAGCTAAGTCATGTCCAACTGTCTGCGACTCCATTGACTGCAGGCTTGCCTGAACTTTACTATCTTCCAGAGTTTGCTAGAGTTCATAAGACCCCTGTAAGTTGAATATTATTCAAGAAAGTAGGTTTTCTTACCCACAAAATCAATCAGGCTGGCTTAACAACAAAACCATTCAACAGAAACACAGCACATGCCCCCAAACAATAAAACAATGGTGGCATGGGACCCACATCCTGCCCAGTGAACTCAGTGAGTTAATGATCCTTAGAACATAATCTCTGCACACATAAAAAAATAATAATTTGTGAACCTAGTTTGACACACAGGGAAGAGAAAACTGCCCTGCTCAACCTGGAGGAGTTAATGATGAAAATATGAAAGACAAAGAAAGGTACTCCCCCTCTCCCACTTTTCCTTTGATTATAAAACTGTAATAAGTTCTTGGGACATGGCATTTCTCACCCACCCACTTGTAAGACTCATAAGTGTCATATTCTAATAAATCATTTCTTATTTACCATTTTCTCTTGCTGAATTTTCCTCTGCATTGAGACATAAAGGGACTATGGTACTGGAGTTATTTGAAGCTCCCTTGAAAAGTTATCAATCCATTTCACCATACTGAATAGTATCCTGAAAGATGGCATGCCCCAGTATTCCTTTTACCCCATTTCATGACATATGTTCCCTTATCAAACTTGGTCTTTGATGGGACTTCCCTCTGCTCTTCCGGGGGCACAAGTTCAATCCTTGGTTAAGAGAACTAGTATCCTGCATGCCTTTTGGTGTAGAAAAAAAATCTTGGTCTTTGGAAATTGTCTCTATCAACTCATTTAGGTTAATCATTGAACTCACTTTTCCAAAAAATTTACATTTCCAGACTCATCTTTCCTAGTAGAAATTTATTGTAGGAATTCCCTTGTGACTCAGATGGTAAAGAATCCACCTGCAATGTGGGAGACCTGGGTTCGTCCCCTGGATTGGGAAGATTCCCCTGGAGGAGGGCATGAAAACCTACTCCAGTATTCTTGTCTGGAAAACCCCCATGGACAGAGGCTGGTGGGCTACAGTCCACGGGGCCACAAAGAGCCGGACAGTACAGAGCAATCACCACTGTCACTTTCACTTCAGCCAATACATCACCCGCTTAGCATAGCTGCTGTGGTTGGAACAAGGATGGGAATCACGGCGTGGGTAAGAAATCTGAAAGGCATTCTTAAGATTCTGTGGGGCTCATTTAAAATCCAGTTATGTGGAGCATCCCGCATCCCCTTTTGATAGCTGTAAAAGCTCAGAACCACAGGGAGTAAGCAGTCTTCAGTTGAAGAAATTAGTTTTGAAAAGACTAGGATTGGAGTTCAGTTATCCTGCAAAAGCAGTGCTCTTCTCACCAGATTATAATGTTGAAGAACTGGCAAAGGAAACAAAGAAAGTGATAATAGAGGGAAAGTTCCAAGAGATTATATTTTTAGGAAAACTGAGAGAGGAATAAATTTCAGGTAGGAAACTTTCAGAATAGACTACAATGTTGTAGGAAACTCAATGAGGCTAGTGAGTGAAAAACTATCACCTGATTTAACTATTGGTTTGATTAGTTTAAAAGTCACTGGAAACAGATGAGAGGGCAATTTTAGGGAAAAAAATTATGGGACATACACTAAGCTCATTAGAGCTGAAAGAAGAACAGGAAATATAAATAGAAGACCTCCAGCCACAAGGGAAACAAGAAAAGGAAATGGTACCTGGTGTACTAGACTGGATTTTAGGATGGAAGTAACATAAGAAAGTTTATGGATAAAGAGGGATAGATTGATGATCAGTTCAGTTCAGTTCAGTCACTCAGTCGTGTCCGACTCTTCCTGACCCCATGGACCAAAGCACACCAGGCCTCCCTGTCCATCACCAACTCCTGGAGTCTATATTATATTATATATAATATTATATATAATATAATAATTTATAATGTATAGCATTAACATCTAATGTTAATATTAATATTTAATTAAATATATAATTAATTATTGCTAATATATAATATATAATTATATACAATAATATATAATATATCTTTAATACTTATATATTTATATAATATACTGTAATAATATAATATCAAATGTTATATATTTTAATAATATAATAAAAATTAACATTTAATTTAATTATAATTTATAATTTATAATAAATATTAATAAATTTAATAATATAATAATACATTAAATATATAATATAATATTTTATAATATATTTATAATGTATAATATAAATATATAATATAATATTTTATTATATATTTATAATGTATAATATAAATATATTATATAATATTTAATTTAATACATACATATGTATAATACATACATATATACATATACATATATAATAATACATGTTACATTATATACATATATAATGATACTTATAATGTACGTTGTACATACTATATAGGTTTATATGTATATGTGCATATATAATATTACATACATACATACACATAATATGTATATATACATTTAGTATAAATTATAAAATATATGTATATATATTTATGTACTATATGTGTATGTAATATAGTATATTATTATATATATATAATGTGTTATGACTATATTATATGCTTTAAGGTATATCACATGTATATATAATATATATGTATGTATAATATATGATATGCATATATAATATATATGTACATGTGTGTACACATTATATAGTATATTACATATATATTTATAAATGTATATATATGTATATATACACATATATACCTTTATATATACATATAAATATACTATGATATATACATGTATATAACTGCTTACATAACTGTGGAGACTTGGTAGGTCCAAATTTGCAGGGTAAGTTGGCAGGTAGGTCAGCCAGCGAGAAGTTATAGTCTGAGTCCAAAGGTTATTGGTTGGCCAAATTGCTTCTTGTTCAGAGGAGGTCATTTTTTGGTCTGTTAAGAACTTAAGCTGATTGTGTCTCAGATTGTTGAGGGTAATCTACTTCACTCAACATACACTAGGTTACTCCTTTCTGCCCGTGGACGCCACCGAGAAAGCATCGTTGAAGACTTCCCCGCCTCCACTGCCGTCATGTCTAAATCAGAGTCTCCCAAAGAGCCCGAACAGCTGCGGAAGCTCTTCATCGGAGGATTGAGCTTTGAAACAACTGATGAGAGTCTAAGGAGCCATTTTGAGCAATGGGGAACGCTCACAGACTGTGTGGTAATGAGGGATCCAAACACCAAGCGCTCCAGAGGCTTCGGGTTTGTCACATACGCCACGGTGGAGGAGGTGGATGCGGCCATGAATGCAAGGCCACACAAGGTGGACAGAAGAGTTGTGGAACCAAAGAGGGCCGTGTCAAGAGAAGACTCTCAAAGACCTGGTGCCCACTTAACTGTGAAAAAGATTTTTGTTGGTGGCATTAAAGAAGACACTGAAGAACATCACCTGAGAGATTATTTTGAACAGTACGGAAAGATTGAAGTAATTGAAATCATGACTGACCGAGGCAGTGGCAAAAAGAGAGGCTTTGCTTTTGTAACCTTTGATGACTACGACTCCGTAGACAAGACTGCCATTCAGAAATACCACACTGAATGGCCACAACTGTGAAGTGAGAAAAGCCCTGTCTAAGCAAGAGATGGCTAGTGCTTCATCCAGCCAGAGAGGTCGAAGTGGTTCTGGAAACTTTGGTGGTGGTCGTGGAGGTGGTTTTGGTGGGAATGACAACTTTGGTCGTGGAGGAAACTTCAGTGGTCGAGGTGGCTTTGGTGGCAGCCGTGGTGGTGGCGGATATGGTGGCAGTGGGGATGGATATAATGGATTTGGTAATGACGGAAGCAATTTTGGAGGTGGCGGAAGCTACAATGATTTTGGCAATTACAACAATCAATCTTCAAATTTTGGACCCATGAAAGGAGGAAACTTCGGAGGCAGAAGTTCTGGCCCCTATGGTGGTGGAGGCCAATACTTTGCCAAACCACGAAACCAAGGTGGCTATGGTGGTTCCAGCAGCAGCAGTAGCTATGGCAGTGGCAGAAGGTTTTAATCACTGCCAGGAAACAGAGCTGAGCAGGAGAGGAGAGCCGGAGAAGGGACAGGGAAGCTAGGTTACAACAGATTTGTGAACTCAGCCAAGCACAGTGGTGGCAGGGCCTCGCTGCTACAAAGAAGACATGTTTTAGACAATACTCATGTGTATGGGCAAAAAACTCGAGGACTGTACTTGTGACTAATTGTATAACAGGTTATTTTAGTTTCTGTTCTGTGGAAAGTGTAAAGCATTCCAACAAAGGGTTTTAATGTAGATTTTTTTTTTTTGCACCCATGCTGTTGATTGCTAAATGTAATAGTCTGATCATGACGCTGAATAAATGTCTTTTTTTTTTTTTTTTAATGTGCTGTGTAAAGTTAGTCTACTCTGAAGCCATTTTGGTAAACTACCCCAACAGTGTGAAGTTAGAATTCCTTCAGGGTGATGCCAGGTTCCATTTGAAATTTATTTACAACCTGCTTGGTGGAGAAGCTGTTGTCTTCAGAACCTTGGTGTAGTTGAACTGACAGTTACTGTGTTGTGACCTGGAGTTCACCATTAAAAGGGTCACCCATGCAAAGTCATGGAGGTTTTTTTTTTTTGGTTATTAATGATTGTTGGCACATCCTATGCAATATATCTAAATTGAATTATGGTACCAGATAAAAGTTATAGATGGGAATGAAGCTTGTGTATCATCCATTATCATGTGTAATCAATAAAAGATTTAATACCCTCAAAAAAAAAAAAAAAACATACACTAGTTTCAACATTAATCTCATTTAAAAAAATAAAGCAAAAAATCTTCCCAGAAACATCCATGATGAAAAACCTGGGCATCATGGTCCAGTCAATTTTACACAGAAAGTTCCCCATCTCTCTGGTAAGCAAGCTAATCAGAATTTATTATCTCTAAGAAATTTTGTTGGTTAAGGTTTTGCTTTCTTTGGCTATATATATATATATCATTGAGACTTATTACCACACTCTTCTGTCTTCCAGTTCCCACTACACTTTTTTTTTCTTCATTTAAGTTTCCAATATCCTTCCCTATTTTCTGATCTTGACCCTGACCAAACAGGGAGGTGTCGACTCTGTGGAAGGCCGGGGGATGCTGTTTGGACTAAATTCTTATGCGCTTATTTTCTGTAAAAATATAATGATGTTACTGTTCTCTGCTCCCCTGGGGCTCTTGTACCTTTTCATTTTGAGTTCAGTAGCCATAATGAAGTTAAGATGATGCATGTGAAATGAAAATTTTCTGGTCCAGATACAATTATACCCTTCTCAGTGTCTTATTTTTTTATTTTAGTAAATATTCATTTAGCAGCCTCAGGTAGCAGAATTAATGATTACAATTTTGCCTCAAACAAGGAGAAGACAAATACTGTAATTATATAAAGTACAAATCAAATCACTAATTAAATAGAGAAAGAAAATCTGCAATAATTACCGAGTATAGGCCAGTCACCAGTGCACAGGAAAAGAACTATAATTTTAAGAAATACACCAATGCCTGATTTATTGAGGTAAATATAATGAACAAGTACATTTTTACTGAAAAAATAAAAGTTTAATCTATAGTAAATTAATCTTAAATAACTCCTCAAGTGTGGGATTTCAGAATTTCCTATCTGTATTTCTTCAGAGAATTGAAAACAAATTATTTATTCTAGCTGAAAAGAACATTAAAATTTAACTGTGGGAACTTAAATACTTAAATACATGAAGTCCAAACTTCATGAAGGCACTGTGATAACGGCCAGACCATGATAGCAACATTACATACAGTGCTTAGCCTGTAGACATCTGATTCATTCTGTTTTCTTTGGTACCATGGTTCACAGATTGTTGCCCTAAATGCCCAAATTATTTCCTGGGGAGGGCTGACTCTGCCTACCCAAGGGGACCCTATATATAGGGTCCTCTTATATATATTATATATTTATTATATATAACTTATAATAATATATATTATGTATTTATATATTATATATACACATGCTATATGTATTGTGCATATTGTTATATGTATAATATGTAGTATTATATTATATGTATAATATAATATGTATATATACATATAATACATATAATACACATCTAATACATATTGCTATATATACATATTATATACACATACATACATATACATATATATCATATAATATACACATAATACATACAATATTATTTATACATATATAATGTATATAATATATTATATTAATACCTTATATATAGTGATATAATATTATATGTTTTATTATATATTATATGTATATTATAGTACTATGCATTTATTATTATACATATATAATTATAATATACAGACACACACATATATACACACATTCTATTATTTGTTTATTTGAAGAAATCTAATACCCCACATTGAACTAATTATTGTTGCCTTTATTATTGTTATTTTAATCAGAAAATATTTCCATTTGAACTGCTTTGTGCAAGACAGTGTGCAAGGTATATTGGCAAAGACTTAGAATCTGAAAATCTGGTGACAGTCTATATCAAGTAACTTACTACCACAGATCAATACCAGGTCTCACGGAAGGAGGTGAGTGGCAGGCAAGGGAGTGAAACTTTGTATTTACAGCCACTCTCCATTACTGCCTGAGTGTCCTTCCTGTTTTAGATCAGTGTCAGCATTAAATTTTCAGAGAAGCCAGATCCCTACTGTGAATTGCACATGTGAAGGATCTAGGTTGTAAGTTCCCTATGAGAATCAAAAGCCTAATGTGGAGCTGAGGCAGTGATGCACTGGGGAGTGGCTGCAAATACAGATTATCATTAGCAGAGAGGTTTGACTGCACAGAGACCATAATAAATCAATTACTTTCAGACTCATATAAAAATTATCGGTTAGTGGCAAGCGACAATTGTATAAATATTTCATTATATATTTTGACTTCCCTTGTAGCTCAGTCAGTAAAGAATCTGCCTGCAGTGCAGGAGACTCAGGTTCAATCCCTGGGTTGGGAAGATCCCCTGGAGATGGAAATAACAACGCACTCCAGTATCCTTGCCTGGAAAATCTCATGGACAAAGGAGCCTGGTGGGCTACAGTCCATGGGGTTACAAAGAGTCAGGCATGACTGAGCAACTAACACTCACTTACTTACTTACTTCATTATATATTGCAATGCAATAACAAAAAACAATAAAGTGCATAATAAATGTAATGCACTTGAATCATCCAGAAAACAACCCCCCTGCCCCCTTGGTCCATGGAAAAATTGTCCCATGAAACCAATCCCTGATGCCAAATTGGTTGGGGACCATTGGTCTATATTATAGAGACCAGAGTCACTGTATGTCTCTCTGAAACCTGTTTTCTCTTCTGTAAGATGAAGAGGGTACACATGGACTGAAGTTCTTTGCCAATGTAAAGTATTGAATATGTGACACTTATCATTTGATAATCATTGCCAGAAAGATTAGGGGTTTTTTTAGTGATGAATGAGTACATGCATACACACTCAGTCATTCAGTTAAGTCCAACTCTTTGCAATCCTATGGACTATAGCCTACCGGGCTCCTCTGTCCTTGGGATATCCCATGCAAGAATATTGGAGCAGATTGCCATTTCCTTCTCCAGGGGATTTTTCCTGACCCAGGGATCCAACCCATGTTTCCTATATCTCCTACATGGGCAGATGGATTCTTTACCACTGAGTCACCTGGGAAGCGGTGATAAATGACTTAGTGATAAATGGATGCTATGCAGGCCTTAATCTCACTGGATCTCTTTGTAGCATCACAAACTGCCATCACACCTTCTTTGCTGAGGGGCTCTTCCCCTCACATGGTTTCAACAACACATTTCCTTCTGTTTCTGCTCCAGGCAGAGGCAACTGAAAAAAATATTTATAATAAATATGGCAAAAGTTTGATTTTCCCAATAAAACAAATACAGACAAAGCATTAAAATCTCACTGGGGCAAAAAACAGGAACTGAATATTGTCAAATAAGGAGATTCAGTGATTGGTAAATATTGAAAAAATATTTAACTTCATAATTAAATAATTACCAATTATAATGATGTGATAGAGTTTTTCAACCATAAAATTAGCAAAGGTTTCTCTTATTTTAGGGCTTCCCTGGTGGCTCAGAGGTTAAAGCATCTGCCTCCAATGTGGGAGACCCAGGTTTGATCCCTGGGTCAGGAAGATCCCCTGGAGAAGGAAATGGCAACCCACTCCAGTAGTCTTGCTTGGAGAATCCCATGGACAGAGGAGCCTGGTAGGCTACAATCCATGGGGTTGCAAAGAGTCGGACAAGACTGAGCAACTTCACTTCAGACTTCAGACTTCTCTTATTTTAATTCAATACCTGACATAAGGGTGTGGTGAGCCTGGCAGGAATAGTATAAATTGGTAGAGAGTTTTTAAAAGGCAATTTGGCAATGTGTATCAAGAGACTTAAAATAGTCAAGCCCACAGATTTATATCTAGGTATTTAGGAAGATCCCCTGGAGAAGGAAATGGCAACCCACTCCAGTATTCTTGCCTGGAAAATTCCATGGATGGAGGGTCCATGGGATCGCAAAGAGTTGGACATGACTGAGCAACTTCACTTTCACCTTTATTAAGCATTATGTATAAAGCAGGGGTGTGGGGAGAGTTTATATACATGGGTACTTATTACTACAGCATTATGTAAAATAACAGAACTGAGAAAGAATAATCAAAAATAAATACATGGGTAATTAAATTATACACTCACTTGACTAAAAAAACTAAGAAGCCACTGAAAATTACATTTAGAGTTTTTAATAATGTCAGAAAAATTTATATCATAATGTTAAATGAAAAATGAAATAGGATACAAAGCTAAACTTAGAATAAAGTTCCCTAGAAAACATTTGTTCCATTGCCCATAATGCCACAGAGGTCACAGATCTGGTGACAATTCCATGCATTCTGAAAGAGGTGGGAATACCAGACCACCTGACCCACCTCTTGAGAAACCTGTATGCAGGTCAGGAAGCAACAAT